GACCGCGTAGTTGGTGAAGAAAGTGATTTGGTTTTTGGCATAAATTGAATCGAATCTCTTTGATTTACGCACCCAAGTTTCGACACAAGTCGTGAAAACGTTTTTCGAGCAAGGCAACACCGAATCGTACCAGTCAGGAAGGCATTTCATGCACAGCACGAATTGCCACAACTCAACCGCCGTGTAACGTGTAACACACAATGCCTGATGGTGATTATTTTGGGCTAAAAAAACACTATTGTATCTAAACAAGCAACTGTTTACAATAATGTACACCCACGCGAATTATACCACAAACACCAAATTACACCAATTCGACACGCGTAAATGGAGTGAGGCGGTTGGTGTTTTTTTGTCAGGGGCACATATCTGACGTGGGTTTAGTGTTTGGTTTCCATGTTTCACGGGTTTTGACATAACCAAAGTCTCGACAACGCAATGACATGCGTACTCAAGCGAATCCCCGCATATTGATCTGGGTTACAGTTGAATAAACAGTGGATTGTTTCCGAAACTCCGGTATACCCTGTTTGACTTCAACACGTTCAAATAAAACTGCTTTACACTGTGACACCTGCTTACATTTTGCAGATGTGATAGTTACTGCATTCGGCATGGCCTACCAGGTGTCCTTGTCAAGAAAACTTATTCGATATCGGTGACGCAAATTCACGAGAAAGTTTGAGAGAGAGGAAATTGCCGATCTCTAGCATTAAAAAGACAAACACAACAGGCCAGAATTTAGTGACACATTCAAACACAAGTTGGGAGCGTCCGTCAGGCGTCGTCCACTAAACTGGCAGCGCCGCTAATTATCTATTGCTGCTCATCCCTCCTTGCCTCTGGTTACCTGATGATCTTCAATGCAGACTATTCAAACGTACAATCAAGGGGCACTGGCTAGGCTTGGAATGACCCCGTACGTCTCCACCCATGACAGACATGGCAGGGTCAGGTTGTGAAGGATTTAGTGTTCGGCGAAGATGACGTGATTGCCAAGAGCATGATAATCCTAGAATATATTGCATAATTTGGAAGCAGAGTTTCCAACCTCGGACACGCGCGACCTCATTGGGTGTTCGACAAGATTCCCGATTCGATTCTGCACAATCGCTTGAGGGTATCGTCTGTGGGTGTGTTTGGAAACAGAGAGGCAGCCGGAGGGTGGGCAAGATGATGCATCGCAAGAATTGGGCCTGCTGGGGATCCAGGATTTCCCAATTTGGCTCATCGCCGATTTTGGTTATAGCCAATCAGAATGCTTAATCGAGTTCATTGGTAATGAGTGTGTGCGGCTGCAGCATGACAACACCCAACCAATCACTGGGCAACTAACCTGAAGTTCAAGTGGAACGGTCTAGTAAGACGAATGGAAATCTCGAGAATTTGTGTTCCAGCAAATTTAAAATTACACAATATCTAAAACAAAATTGACGCTCTCGGATACACACATGATTTTCGGCGTCATTGATCAGAAATGCCAGCATGTGGACATACTGACATCCAAATGTGTGTAGGCGGTGTTAATACTACACCCACATGGTCGATTTGATGGAAGCGCACATATAAACCCCCAGCGCAGCGCTCTCAAAACATCGACAGGCACGTAACCATGAGATTCTACATCACATTCACCGTCTTGCTCCTATTCGCTTTCGCCGCTGTCAACGGACGTAAGTTCGTGATGATTAATTACATTCGTCGTGTCGGCGACGTTCTATAGGCTGTTTTGTGGTACACACAGACATGCTTGAATTTCGTTGGCGACGTGTAACGTCAATAACATCTAGTTTTGCTAAAACACCTCATTTAGCAAAAAATAAGAATATATGATGCAATTCGTGATCAGGTAAAACGGAACGCGCGTTGTTCAAACGGCCCATGTAAGTACGTGGGAGCACCTGATCAAAGCGGCATTTTTTCAAACCATTGAAGACTGCAGTGTCAAATAAAGTTGGTTTTGCATTGCAGAAAGCAAAGACGAAGGTGAATTGGGCGTTGAAGGTGCTGTTTTCCTTCGACCAAGTAGAAGATGCTTTCGGAGAGGTCACATCTGTTGGTACGGCTGGCAATGCTGCAGTGGCGATTGCATGTGGTACCGTTTGTGCCGATAAGCTGCTGATGCCTTTTCTCCAAAATCATCTTCACTTTAATTTACTGTCCCTATTATTATAATGCTTTTTTGCTGTTAGTGGGTGTCTATGTGAGTAAACGTATGACCTTCACAACAGACTGTGAACGGTAGTCTTAAGTAATGTAAAGTAAGCATCAGTGGAATCGGTTTGACCATGGCAGCACTAACTGAATATAAAAAGGTGGTTTGTGAGAGGAAAGGTGGGCGCGTCATACCACATAGGCGATCTAGCAGATCTGCGTTCATTGTGGGGTTTAACAATGTCCTGGCGGAATCTTTGGCTTATGTGCTGCACATTTGAGAATCTAGGTACATAAAGGTGATCAACACGAGTCCCGACTAGTGATCACCAACCATGGGAAGTGCTTATGCTCAAACTGACGATAAGGACCATGAATTCACGAGATTCACCACAGTCCTTCTTCTTACGCTCGATTGGATTCGACGGTGGTAGTTTTACTCAGGTCACCTAACATTTAAGTGCGAACCATTTAGAAATGCCTCATTTTTCTCAACACGTGCGCGCATTTGTTCACCACTTTCGCCGCGGTTGCATTTTCTACATAAGTGAGAATGCACGCATGGAAATTCGTAAAGTTGAAATATCCAACAGCATTCGCCACATGGTAACCACAGAGGGCAACACCTGAAATTAAAGCATGGCCGAATTCCGTTGTAGTGAATCGTGTTGATTCACGTCCAATAACCCTGTCCTCGCAGCTTTCAGCACACCTCCCCCATTGTCACGTGAGACCGCTGGTTCATTACACCTCTGAATGTACCACCACCTCCCGCTTTTGCCATGTGACCTCACAAACGCCTGTGTTCATTTTTACATGTCCACTCAACTGTAAAAGTACACGACACAAATTGGTTGAGCGGTCTCGTAAAGGGTTGTGCCCTCCCCACTCCGGTCTTCTAAATTTTCGCGGGAACGCAGGGTAACGTATTCGGCCTCGGTAATCGCAGTGGCCCTGGCGTGGTTCAAGAGAACATGCCGGGACCCTCAACACAGTCGCCTACTTATCTCCGAAATTGTCCTCGTGATGACACATTTTTATGCTGGAAAGACCACAGCTGGAAGAATTGAGCGACTTCCAAGCTGATCGATTTTTCTAATGCAACTAGCCTCCCATTCAAAGTCGAGTCAGCCCATGACCACTCCTGAGGCAGGTCAATCGATTTTAAACCGCCTGTCGTCCCGTCTGAC